GGTTGTTGCATACCTGTAATCCCAGTGCCGGGGAGGCTAAAAACAGGAGGATCACTACGGGTCTCATCTGTGTAGTGAGACCCTGTACCACATACATTTTTAAAAAATAAAATAGTTGTGTTCACAGTGAGCACCCCATTTTGCATTCTGTTATTTTTACTTAACAGCATGTCAGAGTGTTTCCCACCCAGTGGCAGCTTTGGCAGTTAGTATATTTAGAGGTTGCCCCTTGGAGTGAAGAGGGGTCAGTCCTAGGCCTGAGCCAGAGTCCCTGGCTGCTCAGAAGAAAGTGTTACAGTGACAGCCCCGCCCCTGCTGCCACTGTCTGCGCGGGAACACGGCAGCCCCCAAGCCTTTGAGGTTCAAGTGGCTGCCTGTTTCCTCCCCTGCGTGGGTACCATGCACTGCTGCTCTGTGCAGCAGGAAGTGCGGAGCCAGCTCTCCCAGCTTCTCGGGGTGCATGGTGACAGGCGATCCCAGGGCTACTTCCTGGCCACCTGGCCTAGCAGAACTGGGGGCAAGATTGCCAGTGTGCCCTGGGAACCTAGACCTGGCCCTTCACCTGGTGGGGTATTTGTAGGTAACGCCACCACTGCCTTCCATCACACCAGGCCTCCAAGTGGGCGGCTAGGAGAAGGAAAGCCAGGTTCCTTCTGTTGGGAGGCGTGGGTGGGATAACTCTAAAATGGGCTGGGTCAGGGAGGACTTCAGGAGGCAGGTGCCTTACAGGACTGAGAATGTGGTTCTCCTGAGGTGGCAGCCCAGCTGAGAATAGCCTAGCAGTGCCCTCTGCTCCTGCCCCTTGCCCTGCAGGGAGAAGGGTAGCCTGGCCCACAGTCTGCAGGTGGCCCAGGAGCAGGCTGAGGAGCTGCGGCAGGAGCTGGAGAAGCTGCAGGCTGCTCAGGAGGAGCTGCGGCGTCAGCGAGACCGCCTGGAGGAGGAGCAGGAGGAGACGGTGCAGGATGGCGCCCGGGCCCGCAGGGAGCTGGAGCGTAGGTGGGTAGCTCCTCATCTTCCTGCCAGGCCCACAAAGGCACCTGGGGGCTCCTGGACTTGCTCTTTCTTGGAGGTTCACACTGACACCACTCTGATGCAGGGTCTCCTACCTTCCCCTGCTTTGGGAAACCAAGATTCAGGGAGCTGTGGTCGCTTACCTGGGATAAGAGAACTGTTAGGAGCTACAGCTTAGATGACATGAGCAACTAAAATCAAATGTTAATGTTAATAATGACTTTTTTTTAAAGTGACAGTGGGCGGGCAAGATAGCTCAGCAGTCTAAAGTGCCTGCTTAGGTGAGCTTAGGCGAGTGCGCAGGGACCGGGGTTTGATCCCCAGCACCACATGCTGCACCAGCCTTGCCCCCACAGTGGGCTGAGCCGGCCACACACACACAAAAAGGTGACAGTAATTTTACAGTATTAATGTTAAGTGCTAGAGACAACATTAAGCACTGAGATTCTCTCATTTAACCTTTTGATGTGTGCAATGTATAAATCTCCTTTTTATGGAGGGTGAAACTGAGGCAGAGAGGTCATAAACAGCTAGGATATGAACCTTTGCCCTTAGGTCTCTGAGACCCAAGAGACAATGAGTAGTACATTGGCGTAGTAGATATTTTCGTGTCTGAAGCCCCCTGGAAAAGCGTGTCAGGTGCCACTATGTACTTCCTATAGATTAAGAGCACGAATCCTTTAACTGCTTCACAGCATAGATGTCACCCGTTTTGCAGACATGAAAACTGAAGCCCAGAGTCACTGAGTGAAGAGGCAGTGGGCTTGGTTGTCCCTGTGGGTGTAGCTCTCGCCCCCAGGCCTGCCCCCAACCCAGCTTCCTGCTGGTTGCTCAGGGCAGGGGTGTAACACAGGATGCCCACTTGTCATCTGTCCCACAGCCACAGACAGCTGGAGCAGCTGGAATTAAAGCGCTCGGGGCTGGCAAAGGAGCTGGTGGAGGTGCGGGAGGCGCTGAGCTGTGCCTCCCTACAGCGGGACGTGCTGCAAGCTGAGAAGGCCGAGGTGGCCGAGGCACTGACCAAGGTAGGTCCCACATAATCAGACCTGCGTCTGATCGTGGGTCCGATGGTGTCCGTCTCTGGCACAGACAGATCTTTCCTTCAGGCTGACGTCAGTCACAGACTGACCCCGCCCTCTGACCTGGGATTCCAGCTGCCTGCAGGTCGACCTCACCAGGTCCTGGCTCGGGGTCTCTTCCTGTCTCTTCTCACTCACCCCACCTCTTTCCACCTACAGGCAGAGGCTGGTCGTGTGGAGCTCGAGCTGTCCATGACTAAGCTGAGGGCAGAAGAGGCCTCTCTGCGGGATGCCTTGTCCAAGCTGAGTACCCTCAACGAGAGCCTCGCCCAGGACAAGCTGGGGCTGAATCATGTTGTTGCCCGGGTGCGTTGTGCATAGTGAACCCCCTGTCCCCTGCACTTGTCTGCTCTGTGGGGGTTGGAGGCACGTGTCACTGAGGCCTCCTAGAACCCACACCCTGTTCCTGTTTGGCATGGTCTCTGCCTCTCTTCTGGCTGTGGTTGTGGCTGTCTGTCTGTCTTCTAGTGTATCAGAGAAGGAAGCTCCATGTTCTCCTCTATCGTTCCCCTCCCCAGGTCCGCATACCTGGCTGGTTTGGTCAGTGGAGACACTGGGGAGGGATCCCTGGTCCTGGGGGATCCTTACTCACTTGCCTTGCTCACCTGTGCCCTGCAGCTGGAGGAGGAGAAGGCGACTTTGCTGGGGAGGCAGCGACAGGCAGAGCATGAAGCCACCTTGGCTCTGGAAGAGCAGCGGCGCCTGGAGCAGCTGCGGCTAGAGCAGGAGGTGGAGCGGCAGGGCCTGGAGGGCTCCCTGCACTCCGCTGAACAGGCCCGGGACGCGCTGGAGCAGCAGCTCCACGTGCTGCGTGGCGCACACAGCCGGCTTCAGGAGCAGCTGGCCCAGGTGGGCTGCGCCCCATGCAGAAGTGGGGGGTGAGAGTGAGTGGGGAGGGGCCTGGGAGCCTGCTTCTGGGTTTAGATCCAGTCCCAGCTCTGGTAGCTAAGGACCTTGGATATGCCACCCCATCTTCCCGGGCCTCGGTCATGCCCCCGTAACCTGGGGCTGACCGTGGCACACAGGGCTAATCTGATGAATAGCATGCTCTGCCTGTGTCACCGCTCCACACAGATCAACAGTATGATAATAGGTGGACACTTTTAGAATTAGAATTGGATTCAGGGGAGATAGCTCAGCGGCTTAAACACCTATCTGGCAAGAGCAAGGTCCACAGTTCCATTCCCAGTACCACCAAAAAAAAAAAAAAAAAAAAAGAATTGGAATCGGACTTGCAACATCACAGCTTTAGGAAGGGGCCCAAGAGCTTTGGGAATCTAGAAATCTTTATACGGTGCCAGTCCTGGCGTGAGACTGAAGGGTGCATTGTCCGCTCAATGGCAGTTAGAGCTGGGCAGCTCCCTTGGGTCTGTCTTGTGTATTTACTCAGCTCTTCTGCAAGTTTCAGAGTGAAAAAGAGGTTCTGTTTATTCCAAAGCTGGTGAGGGTCCTTGCTTTTGTACACATGTACATTCCCAGTCTAAAAGGCTATGATTTGACCTGGAACAGATATGCAGCATAGGGCAGAGGCTTGGCCTGAACCAGGGGACCCTGAGTCGAAATGCTGTATGGTGAGCAGGCTCAGGAGTCCGGGGAGGGTGCTCACAGTCCTGGGTGGGGACAGCTCTCCCGGCAGCTGAGCGGGAGGGAACAGGAGCTGGAGCAGGCCCAGCGGGAGTCACAACGGCAGGTGGAGGCACTGGAGCGAGCAGCCCGGGAGAAGGAGGCGGTGGCCAAGGAACAAGCCAGCCTGGTTGTGCAGCTGGCAGCGGCGGAGCGCGAAGGCCGGACCCTGGCAGAGGAGGCCACGCGTCTGCGGTAAGCCTCACATGCTGCTCAGCGCTTCTTGGGGTGGGGGTGGGGGCCCTACATCACGACCTGCCCTGCCCTAGTGTTGGCTCACAGGAGCAGTTGCTTAGGAGCCCAGCTTGCCAACAGAGCCAGTTAGGACTCAGCCTTACCCAGGGAGCCTGGCTCTGGCTGGCAGGTAGGCTGGCACCAGGCCCCTGGCTGGCCACGCCCTGACAGCTACAGTTTCCTGGGGCTGCGGAGGCCGAGTCCCAGGGCCTCAGGGACGGATGGTCTCACAGTTTGGAGAAAGAAGCCCTGGAGAGCAGCCTGTTTGAGGTGCAACGGCAGCTGGCCCAGCTCGAAGCACGCCGTGAGCAGCTGGAAGCCGACGGGCAGGCCCTGCTGGTGGCCAGGGAAACCCTGACTGGTAGGTGGGGTGGGCACCAGGGGGACACCACCCTCTGCCAGACTGCAGCCTTGGGTTCTAGACTACCACAGAGGTTGGGCACGCTGGCCTGGGATCTGGTCCTAAGTCTCGAGGGAGCAGGTTCCTTCCCTTTGTGGGCTAGAGTCCTCACGTGACATTAGCGGTGGGAGTATCACTTCCTGGGCCTGTTGCCATGCTGAGGTTGGAGGAGCAGGTGAAGGCCTGGGCACGGTGCCTGGCATCAGCAACAGTGGCATGGGGACAGTGGGAGAGCTCCGAGCTCCCTGCAGAGCCTTCAGCTGCTTTTCCCGCCACTCTGTGGCCCACAGTCGCTGCCCCGTGTCCCCATGTGTTCCCCAGCCAGTCTCTGTACCTGAGGAGTTTCCCACTCACCAAAGCTTGCTCAAGCACCAACTTGGGTCACAGAAGTCAATCTTTGTGTCCTTGTCTGCCTGAGCCAGACAGAGACAGGGAGGGACATGCTGGCTTCTCACCCAGGGAATGGGGTGTAGCTGTTGATGGCGGGCAGACCCCTGCACATTGTCACCTCCACGAGTACTGACGGTTGGCGCCCAGCCAAGTGTGTTCCTGGTGACCGTCACCAAGCCTAACGTTATGTGAAGGTGGGCAGTGTTGGGAAGATACCCACCTCTTAGCCTCTTAGCCTCTGTAGAGGAGAGGAGAGGCGAGGCTGACCAGACACGTTGCGAAGATGACACTATCCCAGGGGAGTAGCGCTGTTAGAAATGGGGTTGGATTTTCGGCATTCTCTCCATCTACGGGCCCTTCTTATCAATCGTTGTATCCTCAGTGCTGTTCTTGATGGGCAGATGGGGACAGAGCCATTGGGCCGTGCAGCAGATGGGGAAATGGGGACCCAGAGAGGGTGAGGCACTTCTCCAAAGCAACCCAGCCCAGATGTTAGGCAATTCCCCTCCCCTGCCCTGGGTGTCCACCTGGCCCTAGACTGCTGGCCCTGGGGAGGTTTTAACCCAGCCCTGTCTTACCCTGGTGTTCTGTGCAGGGGAGCTGGCAGGCCTGCGGCAGCAGGTAACAAACACAGAGGAGAAGGCAGCGCTGGACAAGGAGCTCCTGGCCCAGAAGCTGATGCAGGCGGAGCGAGAAGCCCAAGCCTCTCTACGGGAGCAGCGGGCAGCCCACGAAGAGGACTTGCAGCGACTCCATCGAGAGAAGGTTTGGACAGGGGGTGGGGACAGTGAGGGCTCGGAGCTACTGTCCTTCTGTGTTTTTGGAGGAATCCTCCCATCTCTGCTGTGCATGTGGTGGGGGCAGCAGGGAGGATTCATGTGACGGGAGCATCCTTATCAAATCTACAGATTTGCCTGGCATGATGGTGTGCACCTGTAATCCCAGCACTGTAGGAGGCTGAGGCAGGAGGATCACAGAGTTTAAATCCTACCTGGGCAACATAGTGACATAGTAAGACCCTTTTTAAAAAAAATCATTTATTTATTTGGTACAGGGTCTTGCTACACAGCTCGGACTCAGTGATCCTCCTGTCTCAGCTTCCCTGTTGCTGGGATTACAGGCATGTGCCACCACGCCTGGTTTTGGTGGCCGGCATGGTGAGCCTGGCGCAGGGCTGGCACAGCATATAGTGCTGGCGATTGAACCCAGCGCCTTGCGCCTGCCAGGCAGTCAGATTGCTGAGCTATCTCCCTGGCCCGAGACCCTGTCTTAAAATAAAAAATAAAGGTCTGAGGATATAGCTCAATGTGAAGGTCCTGGGTTCAACCTTCAGTATTACAAAATCAGAACCAAAACAAAATGCAGGTTTTCACACCCCAGTGGAGATTCAGCCCCAGTGGTCCTGTGCAGGGAAGCCATAGTCACACTCCACGTGTGCTGTTTGTATATTGAGATCACTCTGGAGCCTCAGAGCGCAGGAACACAGTGGGCCAGGGCGAGGCTGCTAGGACACTGGCTCTGGGCTGACTTTTTTTTTTTTTTTTTAATTTTTTTTTTGTGTGTGTGTGTGTGTGTGTGTGTGTGTGTGTGGCCAGCTCAGCCCACCAGGGGGTGGGGCTGGCTGGCATGTGGTGCTGGGGGATTGAACCGCGGTCCCCAGTGCTTTGCTAAGCTTGTTCTAAGTAGGTGCTTTAGACCACTGAGCCATCTCTCCAGCCCCTAAACCTGCTCTTGCTCCCACACTGGCGACAGTGATGCTGTGTAAGGTGTCGCGTTTTCATTTCCCTGTCTGTAGACATGGGCGTGAGTTAGGGTGTCATGAGATTGACGTGAGCTCTGCCATATCCGTGAGTTAGCCTAGCAACTGACACTTAATGCTCCCTAAATTAGTGTTACCCATACTGGGACACTCTCCACAGTGACCCTCATGACAGGGACCCCAGAGCCACCTAGCCCAAACCAGGCAGGCCACTCCTGACCTCTAGGGCAGCTGCTTACCCCACGTCTCTGGGCATGGGTGGGATTATCACACCTGTCCAGCAGGTGGCAGCACAACTGTTCAAGAAAGAGTGCCACTGTCTGCTTTTCTTTCTTTCTTTTTTCTTTTTTTTTTTTTTTTGCGGAACCGGGGATTGAATTCAGGCCCCTGAGCTTGTGCCAGGCAAGTGCTTATTCCACTGAGCCATCTCCCCGGCCCCCATACTGTCTGCTTTTGAGAAAGTTCTGGGGGCCAGTGCTAGAGCTGGCACCTGCTCTTGGCTCTCCCCCTCCCCCCCATGGGCTGTCCTTCACCAAGGGCTCTGCCCAGCCACCTACCCAGTCTTCAGGGAGCCAGACCACCTCTTACTCCTCTTGCAGTTGGTCCTGCCTGGCTCTGCTGTGGGCCTGGGGCCTCTTCTCTCCCTGGCTGACTGCTGTTCTGCTCTGGGAACATCTAACCCCAGCCCAAGTAGCTGCCACCTTTGGGGCTTTTACAGCCCTTGTTCATCCTGGTCCCAGCACTCATCACCCCACCTTGTAGTGACCTGGTCACCACCCTATCTCACAACTGTGGGGTGCAGATTACCTTGATCCCCTGGGTTGGGTTGGGGGCTGCGTCCCCCCATCCTCCCCTGCGTGTCACACATGCCACATGTGGTCCCCAGGAGGCGGCCTGGAGGGAGCTTCAGGCAGAGCGGGCCCAGCTGCAGGGCCAGCTGCAGCGGGAGCGAGAGGAGCTGCTGGCCCGGCTGGAGGCTGAGAAGGAGGAGCTGAGTGAGGAGATCGCAGCCCTGCAGCAGGAGCGCGACGAGGGCCTGCTCCTGGCTGAGAGCGAGAAGCAGCAGGTGCTGAGCCCCGGGACGGCCTCATGGTTCCCCAGGGTGGTGTCCACTCAACTACCCAGCAGCTAGGCGACTTCAGGAAGGCTGCTTCCCTCCTGGGCCTTAGTTTCTCCACCTACATGTCCAGGGTCTCTGTTGCTGCTGTTGAGCCCGTACCTCTGTCCCCGACTGCTGCCACACTCAGGCCACTGAACCCCAGCACAGGGTGGGGAGGGGCCTCATTGTGCCCATGGACTGGCCAAGCCCCTAGTTCTGTTTCCTACCGTGGTCCAGGCCCTGTCTCTGAAGGAGTCTGAGAAGACAGCGCTGTCCGAGAAGCTCGTGGGGACACAGCACAGCCTGGCTGCCATCTCCCTAGAGATGGAGCGGCAAAAACGAGATGCACAGAGCCGGCAGGAGCAGGACCGGGTAGGGCAAGCCAGGCAGCTGAGCGGGGTCTTACCTTCCTTTGGGGTGTAGCACAGCTCTGCCCTGGGGAGTCCCTGAGTCTGGGCTCTCCAGCAGCATGGACAGCACTTGTAGGGCACTGAGGGATGAGCAGGAGCCTGGCCGTCCAGTGGGAGGGGCTGTGTTTGGAGCAGAAGGTGGGCATTTGAGCCTGTGGGTTAATTGGGTGCAGTGGGACCAGCACCCCACAGCCTTTCTGAGGAGCCCATCTATCCCAGAGCACTGTGAATGCCCTTATGTCTGAACTTCGGGACCTTCGGGCCCAGCTTGAAGAGGCCGCTGCTGTCCATGCCCAGGAGGTACAGAGGCTGCAGGAGCAGGCCCGGGACCTGGGCAGGCAGCGTGAGTCCTGTCTGCGTGAGGTGAGTGCCTGTTGCTTGTTGATAGCACATACCAGCAGATGCTGCACCTGCCAGTGGGGGGCCCGGTCCTGTTGGGGACCCAGAAGGGCATAAGGTTCCTCCCTGATCTGACATGAGCATGGTGGTGCATGCTACTCGGGAGGCTGAGGCACGAGGATTGGGAGTTCTTGGCCAACCCGGGCAACATGGCAAGACCCTAAAGTGCTAGGAGTATGGTTTCAGTGGTAGGGAGCCTGAGTCTCATCCTCAGTAATGCCCCCACCCACCCATGAATGAGCCCTCCCTATTTGAGGACAGTCGGATGCTTAGCTGTGAGAGGTGAGAGAAAACATGTGTTAAGCACTCACATGCAGTTGGGATTTAGAGGGACTTGGGTGACTATTGGGTCCCTCCTGGCTTGGTGTTCTCTGCTGGACAGTTTTTTTTTAAAGGAATAATACTGTATTTAATAAACATGAAAGGAATGTTTAAGTATTAAGCTGTGTTATGCATAGGGAGATACAAAAATTTCCTTAGTTAGAAAATATACAAGTAGGCAGGATGTGGTGGTGCACACCTGTCATTCCAGCATTTGGGAGGTTGAGGCAGGAGGATTGTTGCGATTTTGAGACCAGCCTGGGTTACCTAGT